GGAAGGGCAAAGGGGTCCAGGAGAGCTGGCTGTATTTTAAAAAATCCTTATTGCGGTTGCAGGAACAAACCATCCCGATGTGTAGAAAGAATAGTAAATATGGCAGGCGACCAGCTTACAAGAAGTGGAAGATTGGACAAATGACCAGGGAGGAGTATAAAAATATTGCTCAGGCATGCAGGAGTGAAATCAGGAAGGCCAAATCACACTTGGAGTTGCAGTTAGCAAGAGATGTTAAGAGTAACAAGAAGGGTTTCTTCAGGTATGTTAACAAGAAGAAAATCAAGGAAAGTGTGGGCCCCTTACTGAATGAGGGAGGCAACCTAGTGACCGAGGATGTAGAAAAAGCTAATGTACTCAATGATTTTTTTGCCTCTGTCTTCACGAACAAAGTCATCTCCCAGATTGCTGCACTGGGCAGTACAGTATGGGGAGAAGGTGACCAGCCCTCTGTGGAGAAAGAAGTGGTTCGGGACTATTTAGAAAAACTGGACGTGCACAAGTCCATGGGGCTGGATGCGCTGCATCCGAGGGTGCTAAAGGAGTTGGCGGATGAGATTGCAGAGCCATTAGCCATTAGCCATTATTTTTGAAAACTCATGGCGATCGGGGGAGGTCCCAGATGACTGGAGAGCGGTGTTTGGTCACCTTTTTTAGGGACAAGGTTCTTAGAGGCAGTCTTAGTTGTGGTGCCCCTGTCTGCCACTGGTGACTGTTGGCCTGGACTCTGGGTCGGAGGCTGGCCTGAGGGATTTCTCCGTCATTAGTAATTTAGGTTGAAGATCCCTGGCCTTCCGTGTCCTGGCAGTCAGTTTTTTACAATGAGGATACTTTTGGGGAATATGGGTTTCTCCGAGGCAGTGGATGCACTGAGCATGGCCTTCAGAAATGGGTATCAAAAGCCTGCAGGTCAGGCAGCATTTAAAGCCAGGGGAACCAGGCATGCCTGAAAGAGGGTAGCTCTAGAGAAAAACGGGGTCAGCCCATTTTTATTTAGTCGTCATTGACAGCGGTCCTCCAGGTGGCGAAAGAGGAAAAACTCCGACTAATTAAAAAAAAAATTATATGGAAGAAAATAAAAACTAAAGTTAACTCAAATTAACTAAGATTTATGGGATAGAAAGAGAAATATTGTGCTATCTACATATTTGGAGAGACGCTGCTGTCACTCCAACTCAAGCCAAAGGCGATAGAGAAGGAACTGGTGGTCAGTTGGCTGCACAGGCTAGGTAACCGCTCGGCGCGGTGCGAGGCGGCCAACCAGGGCACTGCTACTACAAATCTCCAATTACAAGTGCAGGGCACCAAGACACCCTAAGTGGAGCACCCACAAGGACACTCCTCAAAGAAGAATATCTCTTACAAGCAACCCAGTAACTATCTAATTAGAGTACCTGATTTTTAAGAGTAGGCACGTAATGTAGACAGCAAAAGACAGTGCTCTGATTTACAAGTCAATTTTTCCCTAGACCAAAACAAATCCCTCTCATGCTCTGCTTGAATAGAAATAGAGGCGGAGTCATTGGTTCTGGGGTTCTTTTCTTTGGCTTCTGGTAGTAGGGAATGGGAACAACTCTTCACCCTTGAGGAGTATTTTGCTAATCTGTACACAGATGTCCCTTCCATCCTCTGGATTAATCTTCAAATCTTCTAGGAGACACTCTCCAATTCTTTTCCAGCCATTTCTAGGAAGGGTGGTCTTGTTTGTTCCCCCTCAATAGGAGACCTTGGTATGCCACTCTGAGATGAGTCCAACTGGCACCATCACTGAACAGCCTGGTAGGATACAGGGCAGGGAAGGCTTGAGCCGCCTTCTTTAGGCCTTCGTCACCCTCAGGAGCGATATCAGCCATAACCACCTCTTCCTTTAACAATTTTAGCTACTTTTTACCCAGCAGCCCCCCACCTTCATGACTATGGACTTACAATGAGAACTTCATGCTACTCACCAAGCCTGGAGCAACAGAGCAGTTCCAAAGAAAGCTGAACCAAAGCTAGTCTGATCACCGCATACTTTTATAAAAGATCTTTATGGGAAAATTTTTAGGGAGTTTTGAGGCTTATCTCTTCCTTTCTACTCCCACTGTAAATCTACAATATCTCTCTACCTTTTCATTTATCACAACGTTGGCTGTGGTGTCCTTGAAAGGCATCCCCATTCACACCTGCTAGAAGATTGACCCTGATCAGAAGATGAAAGAAGTGGAAAAGTGAGGATATGTTTTTGAAGCTTCTCCAGTCTGAAGAGGCTGCTGTCCGGGAGAGCACGGATTGGAGGGATCACATGGAGATCAGTCAGAAGGATCAGGATTGGAAGGACCAACTATTCAAGGAAAACCAGAGTGGCCAAAAGGTACATCAACCAGTGCACCAGGAACATGACTCTGCTCAAGCAAACAGATATTGCAGAATTATCCAAAACATCCAAAGACCACCTCCCCCACAGCCTTTACATCTCATTCACAATTCAATGTCCACAAGACCACACACACACACACACACACGGCACTAGCACAACCTACAGCCTTTTCCCTACAATTCTTTGATAGTGGAAAACAAGGAGAACTAGGACTATGCATACACTGACAGACACCCAGAACTTTGCTTATTTAACACTAGTAATATAGATATAAAGCTTAATATGGTTATATAGGTGTCAACCCTCAAAGTTTACTGTTGCTAATAAATTTGTTCATTGTTTATTTGCACACAAAATTTGCACACAAAATTCTGAAAAAATCACAAAATATTTATTGGGTGTCAAACAAATGTTAAAAACCAAAGCATCACCTACTCTCAAATTCATAACAGATATTTACAAAACATTTCAAATCCAGATTCAAGGCAAAACACAAAGTACACAAAAGTAGCACACCACAATAATATGGCACACTGTTAAAGTGATATTTTAAGGCCTCCCTCAGCCATATAGCTCCTTGATGGACTTTAGTTACTGTCCTTGTGTCTGGCTGTTCAAAATCAGCAGACAGTCTTTCCACTTCCCCACTCCACCCTGACAGTAAAGTTTCCCCTTCCCTTCCCTTCACAAATATTATGCAATATTATTCTACAACAAGAATAGTTGCCTTACTGAGATCCAGCCTTCCTATGAGACATCGCCAGAGGCCTTTCAACCTAGCAAAAGCACATTCAACAGTCATCCTGCACCTGCTCAGACATTAGGTAACTCTCCTTGCTAATGTACGGGCATCCAGTGTATGGTTTCATAAACAAGGGAAGCAAAGGATAGGCTGGTTCCCCCAGAATTACTATTAGCATTTCAACCCCACCCAAATGAATGTGTCAGTCTGGGAAGTATGTCCATGCTTGCCAGGGCCGGCTCCAGCTTTTTTGCCGCCCTAAGCGGCGAAGTGGGGAGGGGGCTGGGGTGGTAATGAGAGAGATATAACTGTGATTGGCGGCACTTCGGCAGCAGCTCTATCGCACCGCTTCATTCTTCGGCGGCGGGTCTTTCGCTCAGAGAGGCACTGAGGGACCTGCCACCGAAGACCCGGACGTGCCGCCCCTTTCCATTGGCTGCCCCAACCACCTGCTTTCTTCGCTGGTGCCTGGAGCCGGCCCTGATGCTTGCATCTTTTGGAAAAGTCCAGTATACCTCAAAATGCAAGTGTCACATACACACACTGTCCATCCAACAATAATGTCAGTGAAATGTCCCCAGTGATCCATCAGTATTTGCACAGCCCTGGAAAAGTACCCTTTCTGCTCATGTACTCAGCGGCAAGGTGGGATGGCCCAGAACTGGAATTTGCATCTCCTCTATCACCCTGCACACACTTTTGGGGTGGGAGGGGGGTGCGGAAGGGAGGGAAATGGACATTGTTTCAAATCCTCCTATTTCTTGCATGTTCCCCAGAGTCACAATACTGTGCAGCACAAAAGGCTTCATGGCCTTGCACACCAGGATGACAACTGCCCCCACAGTAGATTTTAAAATTCTGAACTGATTGCCCACAGCCCAAAAGTAGTATGAGGCTACAAGCTTCCAGAGCATGATTGCTAGATGCTTTTCCACTGTCAAAGCAGCTCTCATTCTGGTGTCTCTGCACTGGATGGCTGGGACATAGCCTCCCACATCTCAAAGTGCAGCCACTGCTGATTGCCACAGATCTGTATCACAATGTGATGTGTTCCACCGCTCAGTGCTTGTTTCTTGGTCCCAGAAATACTGATCCACTGTGTGGTGCTGATCAATAAATGTCTGAAGCATCCTGAAGTTTCTATGCACTGTCCACATCATTCACTCATCCACCTCATTGCATCCTGTCTCATCTTCATCAAAGCACCACTGTTCACTATTACACTGGCAGTCACTGAAGTTCTGCAAATACAGAATAATCACGTCCTATCTCTAAAACCAGACACGAGAGCTCCGCTTAGCTGTTCTGGATCCATATTTCTAATAGCGAGATGGCAAAGAGAACAAAAGCAGTACAAGGAACAGTGGGAATTTTTAAAAAGACATGAACATTATCATCTAGAAGAAGCTTTAGGGAATGGAAGAAAGGTAATTGTAGGAACTTGACCCCGAGCTCCCATAATTCCCCGAGTGAAGTGCGGGTGTTCCACAATGCATTGCAAAAATGTTCTGCAAAGCACTGTGCTGGACAGTGATGTAGAGATATTGGGATGCCTATACATAGTGCACCACAGCTTCTGCCAATATAACCTCTTATATGTGATGCAAGCAAAAACAGCCAAGAGTGCACGTACTCTAGCAACATCAGCAACTGCAAAGCAGCAGAAGTTCTAGTGTAGAGATGACCTGAGCTGAGTTTTTAATATAAACAAGAGCAAGTCCTGGTGTATTTATAATACTTAGGCTGCTTGAATCAGAAAATAATCTTAGGAAAAAAGGTACAGGTTTACTTAAGAGTCTTTAGACTAAGTTGCAAGGACTTTTCATTCACTAGCTACAGTTTGAAGAATCGTAAGCATGCTTCACATCTGCTATCCCTTACATGTAAGGCAACTGATATTTATCCATGTCCTTATACACAATTATTCTGGGCAATACAACTGAGACACATCCAGCCCAGTGTTAAACAGGCAATGATGAATAAAATTACTTTTGAGGGGCACTTCTTTAAGCACCTATTAATTTGCAGACTATAAAGTCAGCTTTGCCTGTTTTGATCATCCACACACGTCTTCCTTTCTGTCTCCATTTTTAGATTTTTGGATTTACTGAACCATAAATGCTAAGGTTTCAATGAAAAACTACTCGTTAAGGACCAAATTTCCTGTTTCATTACTATATTATGTATGCAGATGGTACAATGTAGGAAGTTCTTTGATAGGACATTTTCCAAAAAGGCAATTTAAAAATATATTTAAGGCATAATACTCATAATAAATTCAGGCTGTGGATGGGACTGAACACATTCTAAGCTACACCATACTAGTGAGTGAAAATATACTGCTCTCTCTATTCTTGGCTTTCACAACATCAATGCAATATAGTAGGTGCCATCAATTACAAAATAGTTTCACAGACTGCACATACTAGATCTTGGCTTGCTACAAACAGAGTTTATTTTAAAGGCTTATTGAAATATCAAAGAAAGGGAAAACATGTCTGAAACTGACAGCTGTAAAATCCAGTAGCAGTATCTTATCTAAGAATGAAATCATTGAAGCCCAGATACTCAGGAAAGAACTGAATAGATAATAAAAAGGACAGCTGTACAAGCAGCATCTGGGAAACCACTGCTTACTGAGAACTTGTGACAGAATGCAAAAAAGATGACCTTTGGTCAGGGATATCAAATATCAATGCAAAGGAGAAATAATTCATTGTAAAATAAACTCATTAGTTAATAGAAGGCACATCAGCAAAAAATAAAATCTAAGCACGGTGAAAACTGAGCCCAAAGAAACATTTCTATGGAGTCTCTCAGTATTTCATCCAATTAATAGAAAACATACATTAATACAACACACAGAAAGATGGAAGGCGACTATAGTAACAATTTAAAAACAGCAACTTTTGAGGGGGGGGGGGAAATGGGATTTAATAAATGAAGTTAAACATACCTTTTCCAGAACTGCATGATCCACTAAACACATCAGTTTGGAACAAATGTCAGGTGCCTATTGCAAGAGAGAGCTTAGAAAGTTATATTTAAAAGGAAGTGTGACCTCATTAAATGAGATCACAAGCAGCCACTTGAGAATCTTTGCGTTCTTAAAATGGTCCATTACTGAGAAATCATGTGTTTAACATCAGTTCTGTGAAAGACAACTGTTCTAAAGGCTTAGATTTTCAGAGCATTTATGGTCATAGCCAACTCTCTATTTTATGACACTAAATTATATGTTCCCACCTCAAAAAAGAGAACAGGATCAGATCTGACAGAGCAAAATGTTTTCACAGAAGAGAAACCACAATTCCTTTAGTGTTCAGAGTGAACAAAAATGGAAAGATGCTAGTTAAACCCCTTATTGGAATGCTGTTGCTTTCCACCATGCAATAAGAATTACTTCAGAGGAAAGGTGAAGTGTATTTGATAAGATGGTTTCCTAGACTTAACTTAAGGTTTTTCATCCCACAGATTGAAAACAATCTACATTAGCATACATGTCTAAAACCCAGTGGTCAGAATTACATTTTATTTTAGAGCCTACAGATATTTTTTAAACTTGTCTTCAATGTGATAACCACAAGATACATAAAGAGCCTTACATTCCAGTCTCTTCTGATTTGCTCATATCAAATCGCTATTCTCATTTTGACAGCTCTAACAGGCACTAACATTGCTTTTTACTGTAGACCCAGACATTCTTCACAAGTTTTTTTTATTATGAAACCCACCTACGTTGAAAAGCATGTCAGGGTGGGAGTGGTTAACACGGATTAAAATGGATTTCTGCAAGTGCTACCTATGATGGTTTCCAAAATAAACCAACACTGATCTGAAAGAAGTCTTGTACTTGTATTAGTTTCCATCCTCATTCAACCCTCAGTCCCACTTATTAATGGCCAAAAACCAAACGAAGATTTTATGTTAGAAAAACTCAGCAACAACACTGGCAATCTACATTATGATTTCCATGGATGATCAAAATAGCATTCCCATGTCATTCTCTCTCTCTTCATAGTGGAGATCTTTCACCATATTATGTATTAAAAAAAAATGCAAAGTGAGTTGACAGATGGCTATAAAGTTACAAGACTCATTATATTCCATCCATTATCTTTGGATCTCAATTATTCCTGCAGATATTAATTTATTCTCTGTCAGATGGATAGACAAATAAATGGTTTGTGAATATTTTAAAAGTCTGCAATACACAAACGAGTCACAAAGAGGACATTCCAGAAAGTCTAAATACCTGCTGTAAAAATCAGGCTCTTTAAATACTGTAGAGAGGACGAAATACAAACTGGTAGTGTCCAAACAGGTTTCATGTCTTCGGGTAAGAGTTTTCATAGAATAGAATCATAGAATCTCAGGGCTGGAAGGGACCTCAAGAGGTCATCTAGTCCAACCCCCTGCTCAAAGCAGGACCAATTCCCAACTAAATCATCCCAGCCAGGGCTTTGTCAAGCCGGGCCTTAAAAACCTCCAAGGAAGGAGACTCCACCACCTCCCTAAGTAACGCATTCCAGAGTTTCACCACCCTCCTAGTGAAATAGTTTTTCCTAATATCCAACCTGGACCTCACCCACTGCAACTTGAGACCATTGCTCCTTGTTCTGTCATCTGCCACCACTGAGAACAGCCGAGCTCCATCCTCTTTGGAACCCCCCTTCAGGTAGTTGAAGGCTGCTATCAAATCCCCCCTCATTCTTCTCTTCTGGAGACTAAACAATCCCAGTTCCCTCAGCCTCTTCTCATAAGTCATGTGCTCCAGACCGCTAATCATTTTTGTTGCCCTCCGTTGGACTCTTTCCAATTTTTCCACATCCTTCTTGTAGTGTGGGGCCCAAAACTGGACACAGTATTCCAGATGACGCCTCACCAATGTCGAATAAAGGGGAACGATCACGTTCCTCGATGTGCTGGCAATGCCCCTACCTATACAGCCCAAAATGCCGTTAGCTTTCTTGGCAACAAGAGCACACTGTTGACTCATATCCAGCTTCTCGTCCACTGTGACCCCTAGGTCCTTTTCGACAGAACTGCTACCTAGCCATTCGGTCCCTAGTCTGTAGCAGTGCATGGGATTCTTCCGTCCTAAGTGCAGGACTCTGCACTTGTCCTTGTTGAACCTCATCAGGTTTTTTTTGGCCCAATCCTCTAATTTGTCTAGGTCCCTCTGTACCGATCCCTACCCTCTAGTGTATCTACCACGCCTCCTAGTTTAGTGTCATCTGCAAACTTGCTGAGAGTGCAGTCCACACCATCCTCCAGATCATTAATAAAGATATTAAACAAAACCGGCCCCAGGACCGACCCTTGGGACACTCCGCTTGAAACAGGCTGCCAACTAGACATAGAGCCATTGATCACTACCCGTTGAGCCCGACGATCTAGCCAGCTTTCTATCCACCTTACAGTCCATTCATCCAGCCCATACTTCTTTAACTTGGCGGCAAGAATACTGTGGGAGACAGTATC